TATCACTTAAGGATATGAAAAATAGTTAGTAGCCGATTCTCAGACCCACGGAATATGCATATAAAATTTCATAAAAATCGGTCAAACCGTTTCGGAGGAGTATGGTAACTAACATAGTGACACGAGAATTTTTATATATAAGATAAACTGGGCGGGTGCTAACGACTGCAGACGCAGCCGGGACTAACGGCTTAACGTGCCTTCCGAAGCACGGAGGAAATCGAGATAGAAGATTTCTGATCACCCATCCAATGACCGACCACTGCGAAAGTTGCTGTACTTCAACGATCGCAGCCGAACGCGCTTAGCATCGCGCCATCGAGCTCCTCCATAAAATTAGCTGACACCATTTTTGGTAAGTATACTATTTGCATATTTTTATAGCAGTGTTGTTGAGTTGATCTTCTAGCTATACTTGCGTGTAAGTTAAGTGAAATGTAATTATGCTTAATGTTTTTATGTTAAAAGTGTGACTAACAACCGTATGGCCTATACACGCTTGCGACACAAAAGCTATCACTCACACCCTCGCCTGCTAGGACCATATCCCGTGGAGCCAGACCCGTCTTTCCCAGTGGGCACTTTGGGCAAGTGCCCAGGGCCCCGCGATCGATAGGGCCTCCCTCAGATCAAATCCAAAGTCCCTAGTTCCTGTCAGATCACCAAACGATAACCAATATTTATTACCAAAAAACCTGTATAATTCGAAGAAATCGAAGCTAAATTACTGACTACAATACCAACTTACTAGCTTTTACATGCGCGAAGCTATTCTACTCTCGCCAAAATTAGGCTTTCCGACTTCAGCATGCTTAGATAAATTAAATTATATAATAATGGTACAATCATCAGTGTGACTCGCTCCATTTCAAGCCATAATCACATCATAGTCATAGGGGCCCCATTATTGTAATATGCCCAGGGCCTCCAGTAGGTTAAAGACGTCCCTGCGTGGAGTCCTGGAACCTTACTGACCGACAGAAATGCAACACCACGAAAAGGTTTTTAATTTACTGACTTATTGGAAGCTGGTATGGATGAAACGATACGAGTAAATACAAGTAACTACTCGATACTTTTCTTTCGATACCAAGTACTTTTGGCATCGATACTTTAGAACTGAGTAACAAGTAGTATCATGAAGTATATACTTGTATAGCTACTCGGTCGGTCACTCACTGAGCAGTATCAAAAAAACTCATATTATTTATTCTATAGAACCAAGGGCGGATCCAGCTTTGGCGCCAGGTGGGGGGGGGGGGGGGGGGGGAATTTGAAGTACAGATTGTGAAGTGGGTACGGATGGACCCAGCCCAGGGGGGGGGGGGGGGGGTCATGACCCCCATAACCACCCCCCTGGATCCGCCCTTGTATAGAACTGTGTATGTGTCTAGTTGGAATATTTGTGTCGCGACCGCATCTTTTCTACTGCTCAGTTGGCCTTGCGTATGATTTATATTTATTCCAATTTATTCAGTCATTCGTGTCGTTCATCGCGTAGCGTGAGGCTGTTATTTTGTTTTCGTTAAATTAAAACTGTGGCTGAATTTGTAATTGTAATATCGTTCGTCAAAATTTATCGATACCGAGTAGGCATCGATACTTTATGACCGATACAGTATCGATACTTAGATAGTATCATTTCATCCTTAGAAGCTGGTATAGAATAGTGCAATATTTTTTCCTACCATCCTATATGGGAAAGGTTAGGTTATGGTCTTGGGGCAAGTTTTGGTAGATGCAATTGAAACTGTACTGTTTCTGGGCCCAGAAACGGACACTCGTCATTTGTTTTGTTGAAAAGTTTGAAAATTAAGAAACTATTTTTGTGGCGCTTCGCCGGCGGCGTTATGATTACAAGTAATTCTGTTATCAATGTCGAGGCTGCCGGTACCAGGTATTAGCGTTTGGCACTTGATATCACTGGATATTCTACGTACACCACTAAATAGACATTTATTAGAGTAAAATCGTTTAATACTATTCTCTCTCTTTCTGTGAGTGTGTATTACAGCGCGGCCAACGAAGGAATGCCACCCTGACAGGTCGCTTCAGTTCCTTAAAGGTTCGCGCACATTACGATGGGCCGCAGATCCCATGACAACGGCCAACTAGAGCCGAGGTCCGAGTCTCAGAGACGCCCTCTAGTTGAGCCGACCCCCCCAGGTGCTCGTGGTCTAGAGGCTTCAGACGGAGAGAAGACTCCCCCCGTGGGGAGACGCCATCCGCCTGAAATACCTCTAGAGGCACTCGCCAATTCTCGGCTTGAGGTCCCCTTAGGATGTCGCCGTCCCCAAACCCGGTGACGCTGTAACGGTCATCTGCGACCAACAGCATACACACTCAAATAAAAAAAGATGGGCCGTGAGTGACGGGCTAGAGGATTGATGTCATACAAACGTCCGTACAACTGTATGACATCAATCCCTTTGCTATAGCACTCTGTGTCGGCGCGGCAAGGGCCACATCGCAACCAATATCCTAGGCAAATTATGCGGCCCGACACAATATGCGCGATCATTAAATTAACAGAAGAAAGTCCACTTTCGATCAAGTAAATATAAAGAGATCCGATAAACTCTAATTCTGTTGCTATAAGGAACTGACACGACCTATTGAGATCGCATTCTTTCATTTGCCGCACTTTAAGTTATATTTTAATCACGGAACCGATGAGAGTTAAGCTTATCTCTCATTGGCCGAATTGTAGCGCTGTCATTATTCCGACCAATGACAGCCCATTTATCGTATTATGAATCTTCTCTCATTGGCCGAATTGTAGCGCTATCATTATTCCGACCAATGACAGCCCATTTATCGTATTATGCAGTCTCAATTCTTTTGCAATTGTTTGTGCGATAAAGAACGCTTTCCACTGTCTCGTTTCCGTGAAAAGAGTAGGGTTTACAAATTATGTACATCAATGTAGGAATTTTAAATTGATTTTTAACGTTTATCTTATTTTTATTTTCATAAGTTTGTTTCTGAGGTGACCGTTCTCAATATTCTATCGACTACAGTTAGTTAAGTTTTCATTCAGAGCTCAGTAACGACATCTTCTCTTCCACCAGATGTTAAGAGTAGTGGAGTTAAATTGAAAAGATGTAGAAATGTATACATCGCGAATTTTGAGTTAAATGAGAAAATTTACTAGCCAATTCAGAGAACGATTTAGTTAAGTTATATTTCCGCAAAAAATTCTAATTGTCTCTAAACAACTCTTAGCTGGCATAAATTCATTCAAATAAAACTTCTTTAAGGATTTACGTAACTTAAACGGTTAACAATTCCATCTAGATATGTTTTATATAAATGTGCGTTGTATATATCAATATTTTTGTGGATTAGATTTTTAAGTTCCTCAAGAAACTAAAAATTTAACGGTGTATTTTTAATGATAGTCTGACTGAAAGACAATACTTCACCAAACGCCTAATCCAGTGTTAAATTTGCTATTTAATAAACATAAAATGCGTCCAAAGCCTTATATGAATCTATGTATAGGTTTATTAAGAACGACCGAAGGGATGATATTCAAAAATAACATACCTATCTATTTTTCACAAGATCTGGATACACACTATATCTACATATGAGCTATATTTAAACAATTCATTGAAAACGAAAACATAATTTTGATTTTGACAAGTTTTCTTTAAAGTTGTTCATCGCATGGTTTGTGCTAAAACTTTTGGTTTTGCAAATTATTTTCATGTATACCCTTAAAAGGTCTTATTTCTCACTTACATTAAAATATTTTCACATCGAAGAACTTTAGCTAGCTAGTTCTGTTAAAAGTAGAACATAAGGGGAATCAAAGTATACAATTACTGTTAATTATATAAATACATTCGCGAGGTTTCGTGGCTGATGATTTTTAAATTGTTAAAATTTTCTATTAAATTGATCTACAACCTGGTATCACTTATTAAGTTACAATTTCTAGTTTCACAGTCTCTAGGTATTGTTCGTTCATTGCACTAACACATCTCTAATTATCACTGAGTATTGAGTAACTGTTATTTTTAACAATCCATATATGTGACATCACACAGTCTTGACATGATCTAAGCTGCTATTTCATGAGTAAAATGTACGGAGTAAGATAATGAAAAGTCTTGTTAATGATTTATAAAGGCCTACAAATGACTCAACTTTATGGGAAGCATGGATTTAAGAAAGGCTTTTGATTTAGTAAACCACAATTTAAAAGAGTATTCGACTTGGCTATTGATTGTCATGTAAATATAAATATCATATACACACAAATCAGTCAACGATAGTTTCATGATTTTTTTTATAATTGAAACAAGTTCTCAGCAAGATGTGCACTATATGGTGTCGCGCAAGGTCCACACTTAGGACCGTTATTTTTCGCAAAATTTTAAACCCCTAATTTATCTGACTGCATTCAATATTATATCTTGATTAGTTTGAACATAATTAAAAGGTGGATAAGATTCTGTAACTTGGGACAAGTACAGTGTATGCATTAAATAACAGCTTGGTTATCACATCGTCTAGATAATAAAGTATTAATAGTATTTGCACAATCATCACCGAAATAGTGCCATTGTTCATTTTTAACTGTATTCGCTCTCAAGATCTTGAGAATACAAATTGCTACACTGAGTTTACTCTTTAAATAGTATGGTAAAGTATGGTTAAAAAGTCAAGAGCCAATAGTGTATAGATTGATTTTCAACGTTAAACTAAACACATTAAGATCCAACATCCAATAAAATTGTCGATTTTGGTTAGCTTGTTCTGTACTTTATTTAGACCCTAAAGGATAAGGGTCCAACCAATCCAAAATTCCATAACTCATCGATATTGATTGTTTAACGGAACCAAAATCAATCTGTCATAGTTACTTTTGTATTTAAACACACAAATAAATGTTCTCAAAGCAGGGTTTCACCAAAATCATTGCACTTTGAATGTTTATTCTTCTCTTTTTAGAGTAAAATCGGGTCGGACTCTGCGTCCTCCTTTTCGTATCACACAAGCTCTAACACTTTGATAGTCCCCTGACTATTGGCGGCCAGCAACGCCCTGTCGGGCCTCTCCCTCCTCCAGCAGACGGCCGAAACGAAATCCGCCGGTTCTTCATCCCTCCTCTCTTTCTCTAAAAACCCTCTGACAGCTTCGAACCTATAAGCTAGGAGCGGACGAGACAGTCCCTTGTAGTAGACATATAGAGCGTTGTTTTCCGACCCGCATGCGAGGTAAGTGCCATCTGTCGCTAAGCCGACGAAGTTTTTCTCGTTAGCGTGACCGCTGAACGATCGGACGCATCTGGGTGAATCCACCCGCCATAGCTTCAGTTGGCTGTCTGTGGACGCCGATACTAAGGACCGCGCGTCTACGAATTGTACGTACGATACGGCCTTGCGGTGGTCGCGGAATACCTGTGTACGAAAATTTCATTATTAATAAATAAATATAGTATTTCTTACACACGCACCCTTTCCTCGACGGTCTGCGTGGCTCAAGTGTTGTGTGTTTCGTTTTTTAATTTAACGAAAGGTAGGAGTTTACTATGTAATTTATTTGGCCACTAAAACACAATAGCTAAGGATTTTCATACAACTTTGCATGTATATGGCCACTACAGCAGTTTTGATTTATCTCGAAGATGATTGTCGAAATAATGTTACTCATTACAAAACGTTGAATAAAGTTAAACCTGTTAAAAAGGAGAGAGATAATGCATGATTGACGACCTCCGTGGCGGCCGAGCGGTTTGCACGCCGGGTTTCACGGTGTCGCCGACTCAAGAGGTCCCGGGTTCGAATCCCGGCGGGGGCGGATGTTTGTGTGATGAATACGAGCATTTGTACTCCAGTCATGGATGTTTGATATGTATTTCTATGAAAATATACTTATATATGTACAGTATATGTATTCTATCCGTTACCTTAGTATCCCATAACACAAGCCTTATATATTTTTTTTTGATTTTGATTTGATTTTGCGTTCTGCGTTTAGTGTTTATTACAGTAGAGTGTAGAAAACAGTATATTTTTTTTTAGTGTACTTTGGTGTAATGTATTGTAATTAACTGTAGTGATCTATAATACGATTCAACTAAGAATAGGACCGACTGGGCGCCATATTGTGATGTCATAGCTGTCAATTCAAACCAAATAGGAAGAGTGAGCAAAAAAAGGTTTTTATTTAATAAAACTTATTGACTAAGATTACGTGAGAAAAAGTATCAGATTTTTTAATAACATTTATTTACTAAGATTGAGAAAAAAAACCATCGATTTTTAATAATATTTATTTATTAAGACAGTGAGAATAAACATTCATCAGAATCTAGCTCTTCTATTCCGCTCATCTGTGCATTACCGCCGGAGTAGTTATGAATAATCATGCACTATTACTAGGTCACATACGAACATGCATCCTTTATGTAAACGAAAGTTTGAAGTCGAGTATGCATAATCTGAATGAAACTTAAAGTGACATTTGGTTGACGATTTAGGTTATCAACCATACATTGCCAAAGCTCAATAAGTGAAAAAAAAATATCAACCGATATTAATTATCAATATTTGTTATTGTTTATTTACAAATGTTTGGTTTTTATTCTTGAAATAGCGGAGTGCTAAAAAAGGGTTACAAGTTTTTTTTGCAAACCGTACTTTTCAAGCGACATTTGACTAAAAGAGGTCATTGGCTTTCCTATTTTTATTTGAATCGCATTATAATGTATTTGCTCATGTGTAACGGATTTTTCTTCGCCCTCAGATCGTAATAATGCTCGTAATGATCGGCGTATCTTTACGCTAGATGTCAGGAGGATCGCGGGCTGCGTTAAGCAGCACAAGTTGAAATTTGCCTCCAGCGTGGCCAAGGATCGCTCGGCGGTTAATATCCACAATAAACTATCCTTAGGGCTTATGTCCATTTCGTGGTAGTATAATGCGATTCAACTAAGAATAGGATCGACTGGGTGCCATTTTGTGATGTCAAAGCTGTCAATTGAAACCAAATAGGTAGAGTGAGCAATAAAAGTTTTTCTTTGATAAAACTTATTTACAAAGATTAAGTGACAAAAAAAATCAGTTTTTTTTTAAATAAAACTTATTTACTAAGATTGAGAAAAAAAAAACACCGATTTTTAATAACATTTATGACTGTGTGAGTAAAAATATTGATCGGAATCTAGCTCTTCAATTCCGCTCAGCTCTGCATAACTACCGGAGTTGTCATCGTCGTCATGTTTGTTAACAAATGTTTGGTTTTTTTATTCTAGAATTAGCTGAGTGCTAAAAAGATTTTTTGCAAACCGTACTTTTCAAGCGTCATTTGACAGATGGAGGTCATTGGCTTTCCTATTCTTATTTGAATCGCATTATAATGAAGTGTGTTTTTAACCTCCGACGCAAAAAGAGGGGTGTTATAAATTAAATCCTTAAATAATATACCGATTTGGATGTCATTTTTTCAAGTTGAAATATGACCTGATCGAGATGGTTTTTACTTAAATGCCCTGAAGATCTGATCATGAGTTTGAAGATACCCGACGTCTTGTATTGCCTATTATAGTGCACTACGGTGTATTTACGTGTGCTGTAGTGTATTAAGTGCAATGTGGATTAGACTTTAGTGTAGTGTATTAGATTCTAATTTTAATTTAGAATGGTACTCATATCATGGAAGTCATCGAATATTGTAGTGTATTGTGTTATAATGCATTGTAATTTAGTATTATGTTGTGTAATATATTCCTGTCTAGTTGTATTATCGCACATGTGCAGTGTATTATAGAGTGATGTAGTGTAGTGTGGCGTATAGAAGTATGTTGTGGTGTATTATGCAGTAGTTTAGTGTTGTGTTTATTAGTGTGATTATTTCACCTATGCTTTAGCGTCCTTAGATCATAGTAAGGAACGCAGATAGGTGGATCCGTACGCTAGATGGCAGAAGAATACCGGGTTGCGAGCCCACAGTTTGACGCGCGTGACGTCATTCTTGCTATTTGAAGTGAAACTTCTTTATCGGCGTTGGAAAAAAATTTACCGTCACATTTTTCGGTTACGCGTCACATTTTTCCGTTACGCGCCATCTTTTTTTATATTAATAGTTGATAGCTGAATGATCACACTGTCGCCGGCGAGAACTCTCTCTACTCGTTTGTAGCTGAGTGACAATAGTTATTAAAGATAAGACTCGCTCAGCCAAACTCGCATAGCGATACTCGCTCAGCGGTACTCGCTCAGAGATACTCGCTCAGCTATACTCGCTCGGTTAAGCTGGCTTGGCTGTCAAAAGCCGTGCGCGTGCATTTTAACTCAGGACTGCCAATTCGTTTCTAGTTTCTACTCGCTTATCGTTCATCGTCGGAGGTGGAACATGCGCCTTAGATTACTGAGCCGTGTAATCATAACAGTTTCATAGGCAGTAATTTGTATTCATGTCTATGATAATAAAATCCTTTTGTTTAAACTTTATCTAATTTAACTTTATTTAACCAATTTCTGGAAAGTTGCATGTAGATCATTTTTCGAAAAATAAGGCCATAAAGAAGTTTCACTTCTTACGTGTGTACATTAGTACACGCACACATTTTTTTTATTGTGGCATTGCAGTGAAGTGTGTTAAGAGCAGGGTGGTGTACTTTAGTATAGATTTTGCGATGTTTTGTAGTGTATAATTGAGGCGTACAAAAGTATATTTCAGAGCAGGGTGGGGAATTATGGTGCACAACGCTGTATTTACATGTACTATATTGTATTTTAGAGCAGTGTGGTGTACTTTAGTGGTGTACTATGATGTATTCTTGTGTACTGTAGTGCATTTAGTGTAGCGTGGTGTATTATAGTGCAGTATGGTGTGTTCTCGTGTAGTGTAGTGCAGTGTGGTGTAGTTTAGAGTAGTCCGAGGTATTCTCGCGTGGTGTGGTACCGCTCGGCGTTGAGCGCCCACAGCTTGACGCGCGCGTCGTGTAGTGTGGTGTGTGGTGCGGTGTATGATGGGATGGTCACCTGCAGCGGATGGCGGGGCGCCCTGAGGTCGTAGTAGTGCACGCAGTGGTCGGCGGAGCCGTAGGCCAGGTGGCAGGAGGAGCGCGGGTTGAAGCGCACGCAGCACACGTTGAACTTGGCCTCGAGCGTGGCGACGGACCGCTCGGCGTTGAGCGCCCACAGCTTGACGCGCGCGTCGTCCGACCCGCTCGCCAGCAGGCGCACGTCCGCGCGGTTGAAGTGCACCGACCACGCGCGCTTGTCGTGCTCCTGGGGATCATCCAATCGGATGTCGTTCGGAAGGTCTAGGCTGTTCGCTCGACGAGCGCTCGGGAAGGTCGAAAAGCTACGCCGTCGGTTCGCGAAACTACGGCGGGAGACCTTGTACCGAGAAGAACCGGCGAGAAACTCGGCGAGGGCCGTTTTTTTCTCCCTGTATTGTTATATACGGTGTCGTCGAGTTGAAAGATTACTTCAGAGATACGTCTGAAGTCACCTTCCGTTACGTCATCTAGAATATAAATATATAGTTACGATTAATTTTATAGTTCGCGTTTTAAGTAGTATATGGGAAGCGGCATTAGATAGGTACAATATTACCGTTATGAAAAATGACTAATACCCGTTTAATATCAAATTATAAGAAACGCTATGTCCATGCATTACGATCGTTTGGATGATCATCAACTTTATAATAGCCCTCGTTCATAAGAGTATTTTTGATCTGAGATTTAAATTTAGTCAGTGGAAGCTCGATCGGGTCTCGGGGAACTTTGTTAAACGATGCAATACTACAACCCGGAAATGAACCTCTTGATTTTTGGAATCTGAAACATGGAACAGCAAGCTTGTTCTTAAATTTCGTGTTATTGGTTTGACTTTTTTTTGCAAATATATAGGTATAGCGGATACCTATACATTGCGACTCGTTGGGAGAACTTTGATAAATTATTCCCAGCTAGTCACACTGTAACACGTTGAGAGATCTTCTGAAATAATTCCCAACCCAGTCACACCACACTGTGACACGTTGGGACACCTTTCTTAAATCATTCCCGACCAACCACACTCTGACGCGTTATGACAACCTGCTGATAGGTATGCTGTTTCATGTTCGTTCTATTTTGGGCTGTATTTCAATAGGTGAAACCTTTGACTCAAATTATGTGGCTATATTTTATTACGATATCTCTCTAAAAAGCGTGCGCGTCTCGGGACGCACGACAGAAGTGATAGCTTAAACTACTTCGGCACATATGAAAGTAACTAAAGTATGCAGTTCTAGCAGTAGTAAGACGGACCGTATAAGATCGATCTTCACCGATCTGATAACTCGATGAGACAAATTAACGCTGGGCCTGAAGAAAAACTGCGTCTTAAAATCAGTACAAACAACGTGGTGAAGGAGAATCAACCTTGCACAGTCCTCCAAGAATGTGATGTCCGACTCTTCGGTTCCCAGCATGAGGAGAAGTTTCGAGGGGTGGGGTTGTTTTATCGGTCATATACCCTATGAACAGCGGATGGGATTGCAGGGAAGTAACATGCGGTGTCCCACAGGGGTCGCTCTTGGGGCCGCTCCTGTGGAACATCGGCTATGATTGGGTAATAAGCGGTGATACTTTGCGAGGAGTCGATGTAACCTGTTACGTGGACGACACCCTAATAACAGCCCGCGGAAAAACTTACCATGCAGCAAGTCTACTTGCCACAGCGGTTACAGCACAAGTGGTGGGTCGCATAAGGCGGCTATATAATAAATCGGAAGCAATATGCTTCCATGGGCCACGCAATTCACCAACGGCCGACGCGCAAATCGTTGTAAGTGAAGTTCCAATACGCGTCGGGTCGACGATGAAGTACCTAGGAATCGTTCTCGACAGTCGGCGGAACTTCAAGGAACATTTCCGCAGATTGGCTCCTAAATTAATGAGGGTGGCGGGGGCTCTCTACAGGTTAATGCCCAACCTCGGCGGACCAAAGGGTGGATGATAGAGCGCACAACTCTACCAAAAAGACGGCTTTTTGGTAGAGTTGTGCGCTCTATCACACTGTATGGGGCACCCATATGGGTCGATTCCCTGACTGCCCATAACAAGACTCTTGCGACGAGCGCAGCGGGTCATGGCGGCCAGGATTATCAGAGCTTATCGCACTGTTTCCGGTGAGGCGGCATGTATATTAGCTGGCACACCTCCATGAGAATTAGAAGCCGAGGTCCTTGCCACGGTATACCGAAAAACTGCGGACGCTAGGGCTCATAGCGGAAACCCTCTCCCTGAAGAATAATGAGAAAAAAATGTGGAGGCAAATGCTTCAAGAGCCGAGTGCCGGACATCGCACTATTGAGGCTATTCTCCCGGTGCTTGATGAATGGGTGATCAGAATCAGAATTTTATTTGTGAAACATAGGTTAGTATACATGGTATATAAAATTTTTGTTAGTATCACTACATTTCCACCTTAATTAAGGTATACAAATAGATATGGACCTATGAAAGAAGTACTATTATTTTTACATTGGAATAACAATTTGTGAATATAATTTGAAATTGTCTATTGTTACATGCATGTCAAAGTAGATTATAAATGAATTATAAATTTGATAAGCCATAAAGTTGTCATACTAATAGTCAAAATTTTATTTATGTGATGAGACGAAACGGTTCGCTCTCTTACCGCCTCGTGCGGATTCTTTCGGGACACGGGTGTTTCGGGAGGTATCTGCGCAACATTGCGAAAAGGGAACCAACAGTCATCTGCCATGAGTGTGGCGCGTCGGAGGACACAGCGCAGCATACGCTGGAAATATGTCCTACTTGGGGACAGGAGAGGGCAACCCTTATAGCTGTGATCGGCAGCGATTTGTCAATTCCGGCTGTGGTGCAAGCTATGGTCAGCAGCGTAGGGGCATGGAGAGCCATGAAAGGCTTTTGCGAAACGGTAATGGGTGAGGACCCCCTAGCAGACCCACTCAGACGCCGACGAGTTGGGAGACGACGCCAGGCATACGCCAGAGCGTTAGTGCCCTAAAAATAACGCAGCTGTAGGGAGTAGCTGACGCTTGGACGATAGTCAATGGAGTAGTGTGCGGCGTCATACCCGTGTTTGCCCGCGCACGTGTTCCCTCCTTCCTATAATCTGGGGTCCTTTAAGAGAGGCGTGAAGAAGCATTTCTGCAGGCCGGCAAGGTGAGGATGGTTGGTGTGGCAGTTTATAACTGCTGTACCAGCTATCTTCACGTTTGGACTTTATCACTACTTAACATCAGGTGGGGTAGACTCATTTGCTAACTGGCTATAAAAAAAACGAGTGTGTTTATGACCACATGACTGAAGTGAAACTTCTTTAGCTCCATTTGTATGTATATATATATATATATATATATATACTATCTGACCCAACGAACTTCGTACCGCCAATCGCCATAAAGATAGCGGCAGGTGGTAGAAGAGAAAATTTAGGGTTGTATGTATTTTTAATATCACATTATAAAAAAATATATAGGGGTGTGTAACGTAGTGTTCTATCAATTTCCTGGGATAACATTCCTCCTAACCCATATGGGAACACTACGTTACAATATCCAATAGTTTGAATTTTGGCGCGAAGGCGCATTGTAGGTTTCAGAACACTACGTTACAGGTGGACAACCACTATCACTTAAGGATATGAAAAATAGATAGTAGCCGATTCTCAGACCCACGGTATATGCATATAAAATTTTATACAAATCGGTCGGGCCGTTTCGGAGGAGTATGGTAACTAACATTGTGACACGAGAATTTTATATATAAGATATATGCAATATATACATGTATGTACATATACATACTTCATTAACTAGCTATAAGAGAAAGTAAATGTGCACGTGCACTGCTTTCTCTTGCTTATATCCCCAACTCAACTTCCGTTCGGCTCGCCCGAACACACTTTTCGTAACGCGTAACGCATTCGCCAAAGAAGTTTCACTTCAAAAAACGCTCACAAATGGAACATTTTTTCCCGTTTTTGGAACATTTTTCATCGATGCTCCGCTTCTACCGGTCGTAGGGCGATATCATACAGCCTATACCAGTATAATCCTCACCTCACCTCGTCACTCGTATGTATATGTGTTTGTGGGGCACGTGTGACACGATACCTGCAGGGCCCTGGTCCTCTGGCCCGTGGAGGCGTCCCACACACAGACGCAGCCCTCGTAGTCGGCGGAGGCCAGCACGTTCTTGTGGTACTGGTTCCAGGTCACGCAGGACACCTTGTGGGCGCACTGCATCTCGGCGCAGGTGGGGCACGTGGGGCACGTGGGACACGATACCTGCAGGGCCCTGGTCCTCTGGCCCGTGGAGGCGTCCCACACACAGACGCAGCCCTCGTAGTCGGCGGAGGCCAGCACGTTCTTGTGGTACTGGTTCCAGGTCACGCAGGACACCTTGTGGGCGCACTGCATCTCGGCGCAGGTGGGGCACGTGGGGCACGTGGGACACGATACCTGCAGGGCCCTGGTCCTCTGGCCCGTGGAGGCGTCCCACACACAGACGCAGCCCTCGTAGTCGGCGGAGGCCAGCACGTTCTTGTGGTACTGGTTCCAGGTCACGCAGGACACCTTGTGGGCGCACTGCATCTCGGCGCAAGGGTAGTGCACGTCCACGGCGTCTCGAACCACCGCTTCGTATTCGAAAACCTTGCAACAAATATCAACATATTTCTAACACTCACACCGATTAGCCTAGCTCCAAAGTAAGCACTGTAAGGCTTCTATTATGCGATACTAGGGTAACGGATAGAATACATGTACTGTACATATATAAGTATGTCGGATGGGCGAACGGGATAGAGGCGGTTGGCCACGTGGTTTTTCTTGATCCGCCATCTTGGTTATTCTATTATATTTCCCGAAAATAAAACTGCAGTCTAGTGACCAAGCTAACGTTTAATTTGAATCTTCTTATTACTTTACAAAATCAGTTATGATTGCCAAGGTACAAACGGATTGCTTTGTGAAGCGCGTAGAGTTCTCTGCTAACGTCCGTTCACTATTGCGGCTCACGTCTGAATGTTGAATGCCCCAAGAATGCCCCTTCCAATGACGCATAGCCCCTTAAATACTACCCTTAACATAGACCACTCCCAAGTGATGACAGCTGTCACTGACATTACTTGACGTTTCACAAAGCAATGATACACTGACTGATGACATTTGTTGTCGGTTTAACGTTTCGAAGGAGCGAGTGAGACGCCATCCACCGACAACTATATTTTTATAGAAATACATATTAAACATCCATGACTGGAGTACAAATGTTCGTATTCATCACACAAACATCTCAAACAGCCTAGCCCCAAAGTAAGCACTGTAAGGTTTGTGTTATAGGATGCTAGGGTAACGGATAACATACATCTACTATATAAAAATAAGTCGGGTTTTCCTTCCTGACGCTATAACTCCAGAACGCACGAACCGATTTCCACGGTTTTGCATTCGTTGGAAAGGTCTCGGGCTCCGTGGGGTTTATAGCAAAGAAAATTCAGGAAAAAATATAAAAAAAAAAATTCTTTTAATCACCAAACGAAATGTTACATAATAAGAAGCCATCTGGTGGCGAAACGGAGTTCGCGGGGTTTGCTAGTATATTATATATATATATTATATCTATATAGAAATACATATAAAACATTTATAACTTTAGTACAAATGCTCGTATTCATCACACAAACATCTGCCCCCACCGGGACCTCTCGAGTCGGCGACACCGTGAAATCCGGCGTACAAACCACTCGGCCACGGAGGTCGGCAATGTTTGTGTAATCTGATCGGTGACGTGGCACTCACCTTAATCCTCTTGGTGACACCAGCGATGGCGAAGAACTCCTCATCCTTGTCGAACTCAATGGTGGAGACGATGGTGGAGTAGTTGATGGCGTCGCTGCAGTAGGAGAGCGTGGCGAGGGGCCGCAGCGCGCGGTACCGCGTGAACGACACCAGGTCCTCGCGGAACAACTCCAGCCCGCGGGCTCCGCTGCCCACGCTGGTGCCCACCCCCCCCTCCCCCGACTCCCAGTCGAGGCGGCGCTCGCTGCCCGCTGTACCCGACCAAACAACCAATAGGCTAGTTGACTCATGTCGAATTGTATTAAATAAATGTTTATTTCTTAAAGTATTTGGTTTAAGGAACCTAAATATATCGATTTCACTTCATAAAAGCGGAAGATTGCTGTAGAAATTTAATTTTAAAAATATTTTTTAGTCTATATATTTTAAACACTAAAAACGCTGTCGCCACATCCGCCACGATTATGACGTCTCTTATGGTAAACAAAAACAACTAAATGTCATTCGCGTGTTACTGTGGTCGGTGTGGATTCTTTCGTCTGACTAAATTTATCTTAATGAAAATGGTTTTTTTTTTTATTTCCCAAAGAGTCAGAATACAGTACAAGTTGAGACAACCCAGAAAGTAATAATTAATACTTGTGTTGGGATGCCTCGCTCTTAGCCTAGTGCAGTTAACAAATTTTGGGCACATAACAACTAATTTCTTAAAGTATCAGGTGTATTTGTATAAGTGTGTGTGTATGAATGTGTGTGTGTGTGTCTGTGTGAGATGGAGAATAAGTGCGTGAATGTGTGTACAGTTGTATATATATTCAACCTCCAGTACGACCATTATGTTATTCTTTTTAAAATTAATTCCGTGTCTTCATAGTTAAGTGTTTTCAGCCAATTAACTAGAGTTGTTTTACATTTATATGACAACATAGGATACATGTTGTGTTGTAATTTTTTGTTTATAGTATTATAAATGAAAATACTTTGAGAGGGATATTGACGTCTACCAAAATCAGTACGAGTTGGAAGGGAACGATATCTTTACGTCTTCTGTCTAATTTTGAAGAATTATATTTTAATGTCTTATGTAATGGCAGGGTAGTGTTTAATAAATACAGCTGCCGGATAGATAAAAGATTACAAAGTTTATACAGATTGTCTGTGGGGTATCTGTAAGGTTTGAAATACATTACCTTGAGGAGTGATCTTTGAGCCCTTTCAAGATCAAGTAATTTATATTTTGAACTTCCTCCCCACACAGGAATACAGTACGTTATCACAGGCTGAACTAACGCAACATAGATTTTGTTCCGAAGTTGACTAGACATGACATATTGCAATGTTTGAAATATCCAGGTAAGTTTCCTGACTCGGGCGATAACCAATTCAATATGTGAATGTCATGATAGTCTTTGATCCACTATAATTCCAAGGTATTTGGTGCTGATTACTTTTGAAATACTGGGGCAGTTACAGTTTTCGGTGGATGGATGGCTTTTACTACTGTGAATTTTAATTTGAAAATCATCAGCCGGTTGAGATCTTTGACTTGGGGTAAAACATATATAATTTGTTTTTGTCGTATTAAGCGTCAGAAGATTTGTGCTAAGCCAATTTGACACTTCAGCCAAAGCTAGTTCGGCAACGGTTTGTACTGCCTCCCAGGAATGACCAGAAAATACAAGTGCAGTATCATCCGCGTAACAGAAAATTCGTACTCCACTAATTCGAAGCTTACACAGGTCGTTAATGTAAACTAAGAACAGTGAAGGGCCTAGTACACTGCCTTGTGGAACTCCGTATGTGATATTTTCTTCGTAACTATTTAAATTGTCAATTTTAATAGCTTGTTTTCTTTCTGAGAGATAACTTTCAAACAAAGAGAGAGCAGTACCCCTAATACCAATGCCTTCAAGCTTTTTTATTAGTATAGGTACAGAAACAGCATCGAAGGCCTTTTTGAGGTCTAGGAATACAGCTAGACATTTCTCCCCTTTATCAACATAAGCTGTAATATGAGTCACTAAATCTATGACTGCATTCTCCGTTGATATTCCCCTTAAACTTTTCTAAAGTTAAGTCCTTAAAACACTTAACTTTAGAAAAGTTTCCGTATACTGTTTTTTTTAGAAAAAACTAATTATGGATGCCGGCTTTGTGAAAACAGAAAGCACAAATCTGCCAAGAATTGACGCATTCATGGTTGGTGAATTTATTGCACTAAACCCCGATTTCTGCTCTGCGGAGCAAAGAAACGACATGGCATCTATCATCATCATCTAGTACAGTGTATTTAGTATTACAATGTAGTAATAAACATAAAACTGATACAACATATGAATAAGTATAATAAAGTTGCGTAGGTTAATTTCTTTCGGCACTTTAATCCACAACTTTCCTGGAGTCTTCAAGGATATGTTTTTATATTCTCGTACAATACAATAATGATAATTACTATATTTTTCATGGTATTTATTAGAAATCATGTTTTTTTTTATTATAAAGTCAGTTAAGTTATTTTCTACGTGCTTACGAGTTTTTGTTTACTGCAGTTAACGTCATAGCATAGATAATCTATAGACTAAAATGGCCGATAGCGTTTTTGTATGTCCATGAAAAATCTATTTTAAAATTAAAGATTTGTAGCTTTTTAGGTCTCAAAAAAATACAATACATTTTTTTCTGATCTAATAGGACATTTATTAACCATTTAAACCTTTTTCCAAAAAGGGTCAACTAACCTATTCACTCAACACCACACGTGATCATCGTTACTAAATACCCTAGATACACCACGTGCGCTCAAAATGTGTCCCAAACAAGAAGTGCTTGAAAATCACTCAAGCACTTCTTGGTTCACAGTCACGCATTGACCTATTTTAAACTTTCATGGTCACTAACATTATAGTAATACAAGTTATTTACGGGATTGTTACCATGTACCTTGTTTTTAACAAGTTTCCGATATTTCGGCACTGTTGCAAACGCCATGATCACGGAGTAACTGAATTAATTGCGGGAAACTTGCTAAAAACAAGGTACTTGATAACAATCCCGTAAATAACTTGTATTACTATCACGCGCGGACCGTTGAAAATCTCAAATTGCCGCAGAGCTTATAGCACGTAAAGTTTTTTCGACAGGTATATCTATAATCAATGTTTGTTAATTTAACACTTTTGAAGCAAATTTTGGTCTATACTGACTATAAACTGATTTAATGAAAAATAATGTTTGGTCGATAATATAACCGTCTCTTTTCCTCGCGGTCCGTACCATTGCTAGAAGCGCATTCCGAATTGCGCGTAGACTCAAAGAAATAAGGTCTTCCGCATATAGCAATGAGTCATAAAACTTTACGAGCTTGCATTTCGAACTGTCATAGCTCTTTGACGCATGCGTTTTAATTAAGACCGTGCAAAGTATGCATTAAACATGATTTTCGTGTTTACATAAAGCCTTATATTGTTTTTGACTACGCGATCATCTTATGGAGCGCCGTGGATCGTCCAATGTACCTTTTGGACAGGTTTCGGCCACGATTTTGTTCGTGTTGGTGTATCTAGGGTATTTAATATCGTCGTCGCTATCCTTAAATCATTAGACCTAGATCCTAGAACGCGACTACAACGACACCTAGATCCTAGAAAGCGATTACATTTATCTTTACTTTATTGGGAATCAAATGTAGCTGCATAAGTTTTAACAAACGCGGACAGTTTTTAGCTTATATTTTGTATGCAACCCGTTATCAACAATATAACAGAATTGTTGACCGAAGCTACTAAGCTAACAGACCCGAAAAATGTTGCTACTGGCCGAAAGAAACATAGAAGAATCATTTTATAAATATTTAATTAGAATAGGGTATTTGACAAGTTTTAGAAAACGATCTCACGTTATTGACTAATGTTTATGGTGTCCGTAAAAAGTGAATATTCATTATTCTGTTGTGTATTTCAGTAAAAATAACCAAATCAACAAATCCATTTGCAAGTTGCCGCGAAAATGTTTCTCTGGACAATATGGCGTCTTACTAGTGTGTGACGTCACACGACTGTTATTAAAACGTCAAACGATACAATGTAATGTCACTTTAACCGGAAGTTTACTTGCGTGAGACGTCATTTTAGGCTGCGGCAATCCCAAGCGTTTTGGGTCACGTGACAATAGATAAGAAATCTATTATCTTTTTCGTGGGTTTTTATAAAAAATATGATTAGTTTTTTTTTGTAAAAATAGTAAAAACCCCTGCCAATATTCATTCTTATCACAGATGATAACAATTGACATTTTATTTTTAATACTGTCAAATGCCTTATTATTAAATTATTTTATCAAAGTATATGTGTTATATGTATGTGTATGTATATATATATATTTATTTATAGTGTTTGTGTGTATATTTATATAAGTATAGTCGTATGTATAGTAAAGTGTTAGTATATTTGCTCATTGTTTGATTTTAATGTCTCTTCTTTGATTCTGCCGTTTTTTATAGTATCTTCTTTCCGTATGTTCTTTCCGGTTGACTGGTAGAGAATGCCATATTGGCATTAAGTCCGCCATTTGCAGTGTAAAGGCAATAAAGATTAAATAAATAAAATATATCAATGCAGTGTTTACAGTTAGAAGAGCTTGTTGATAGCGCTTTGTTTAGCATTTTCACTTTGTGATTATGCCTAATTATCTAATAGTTGGCAAAAAAAATACTGTCTCTCGTTCTTCCGCGGTTCGGAAGGCACGTTGAGCCGTCAGTTTCGACTGAATCTACAGTCGTTAGCACCCACCAATCCACACACTGGGCTGGGGCCACGCCCCACACTTCTACCTATACTTTTATGCTTGCCTTAGCAAAACACTGTGGAGCTAGAATGGTACAGTACCCCTAGCACGAACCATTATCGAATTCGAATAGTTTGCAAACCGAAATGTCAATGTCAAATTTTGTATGGAAACTTGAACGGCAGCGGCACAAAGTACGTAACGAGAACTAAAAATCAGTACACATTTGACAATGAAATTTCGGACTCGCAAACGATACGAATTCGATTTTGGTTCGTGGTAAGAGTACTGTTCTAATTATACTGCTGTCACTGAGACAGCAGACGACGACACACTAATATCATAAAGGCGAAAGTTTGTGTGTATGTTTGAATAGAATAGAATAATTCTTTAATGTTTATTTGTTACTTCTTCACGTCTAAACGGCTGGAGCGATTCTAATAAAATTTGGTATGGATTTAGTTGACACCCAGTTGGATTATCACGTAGGCTACATTTTACTGCGGGAAAATATCCCTAATAAGCAGCGGAGCACAGTTAGTAAGTAATAAAAAGTCTTTCGAAAGTAGCTCGATAAAAGTAAATAAAAAAAATTATTCCGACGAAACAGCCTGCAAAGGCTGCGAAACGTCAATAAATAAATAAAGTTTCGTGCATTAACCCGTAAAAACTAGTTTTATTTAAGTAATAATGTTAATATCAACTCACCATTAGACATTTCGGCCGCTGGATTGGGCACGTGCTCATCCAACGCGTGGTCCGTCATGACGTCACTCGCGACAGGGACGGTGCTGGGGGCGGGGCCGGGGGCGGGGTCGGTGAGGTCGGGCAGGGAGGGGGGCGCGGTAGGTGCGGCGGGAGGCGGGGGGGGGAGGGGGAGGGGGAGGGGGAGGCGGCGCGGGGGTGGCGGGGGAGGAGCCGGGGAAGTACAGCTCGTCGGCGCGGTGCGAGAAGTAGCACTGAACGACAAAAATGTACAGAGTCAATACACACGTTAAGCCGCGTCTCCAGCGCGTGTTTGACTCTACACTACACAATCATTAACATTCAACAAAATCGTCTACACAAAACTTTGTTTCACTTAGATGTGATGATATAATCCACATGTTTGTTTGCATGATAGAAAACACGAACACGATCCCCCCCCCCCCCCCCCCCCAAGGGTCAAGGGGCAGGGTATTGTTTCATCAGCCGTTTCTTTGACAACTCGCTAGCGGGGGCTGCGTTCCAAACCAACGCAACTTTTCACTGGAACTTATCGATATTGGTCACAGAGCAACACGGTCGACGCGGCCAGGAGAGGAGTAGGCATTCAAAGCGATCCCCTCTGTCAATTTTATCCCGCTGTTGGGCCAGCTCAAAAACAAAACTAGTTGCTCTCGGATATTTCAATAGAATATAAGTCAGAGCATAAAAAATGCCATATAGTTCAGTAATTTGTTGTAAAAACAAAGCAACATAAAAATTAAAAAAAGGATTTCATCTTATGTAAAATTATTAATATATTATTTCTATGCAATTACTTTTAAACAGAAAGCGCGGCTGAAATTTTTTACCAGTTTTAATTTTAAAAACTTTTATATTCGTTAGTATAATTATTGTTGAGAGAAAAGACATTGTAAATTTGTCGAAAGAATTTGTCATAGAATTTAGTGCAATTGAAATACCTAAACTAAATTATATAATCATAGGTTTATATAGAGCGGACCGCGAGATAAATATATTTGAACAACAGATGTCAAAATTATTAAAAAAATTAAATTCTAAAGACAAAAATAAAAACATAATAATTTTAGGTGACTTTAACATAAATACTTTAACTAAAACTAAGCAAAATGTTGAATTAATAAACTTAATGCTATCCTTTAATCTTAAACTAATCATTAATGAGCCCACTCGCGTAACAAAAACATCTTCCACTTGTATTGACTTGGCTTTTACTAACAATGAACCTACATTATCTGAATACTGTGTAAAAGACTACGGCCTTTCGGACCATAGAGCTGTTAAAATAAAAATAAAACAACCATGTAAACAGAGTAATAACACAACGTGGCATATCAAAAAAAGAATTTTCACTAAAAGTAACATAAATAAATTTAAATTAATGATAAAAGACATAAACTGGAACAATAAAATAAATAAAGATAATGACATTAATAAAAATTATGAAGTATTTCTAAATGAATTACTAAAATGTTTAAATATATGTATACCTGTGCAAAAAATTAAATTAAATAACTATACTAGAAAGGGCTGGTTAACAACTGGTTTAAAAAAATCATGCACGCATAAACGTATGCTAAGAAAAATATTGAACGAAACTGGAAATCAAACTATTAGAAAATTCTATAATAAATACAGTAAAATATTAAAAAAATGTGTGAAAATATCAAAACAAAAAGAGTATATTAGACTGATAAAGAAATCTGACAATAAATATAGATCTATATGGAAAATAATTAACATGAAAACTGGTAAAATTAAACAGAAAAGTCGTAAAAATATATCTCTGAAATCTAATAATAGTATAATAAATTGTCCTAGAAATGTAGCTAATACTTTTAACGAATATTTTTCAACAATTGGCGAGTCTGCAAATACATCAACATTTAAACAAACTAGTTCACCAAATACACCTACCTGTTCCATGTTTTTACATCCTGTCGACTTAAAAGAGATTTTAAACATTATAAAAACAATGAAACGTAAATATAGCTGTGGAATCGACGATATTCCTCCCATTTTGGTCAAAGAATGCGCGAGCGAACTATCACAGCCCCTCACTATGCTCGTAAATCAAAGTTTCCAAGATGGCAAATTTCCAGACTTATTAAAAATTTCACTAATCAAACCAATCCACAAGCAAGGTGACACTCAAAACCTCGTGAATTATAGACCCATCGCGTTGCTTCCCACTTTTTCAAAAATATTTGAAAAAGCAATGTGTAATAGATTATGTAAATTCCTTGAAAAGTATAAAATATTAGACAATAGCCAAAACGGTTTTAGAAAATCCAAGTCAACCACTTTGGCAGTTTACCAATATATCCAAAATGCGTTACAACACTTAAATGATAAATATAGCGTGTTAGGCTTATTACTTGATATGTCAAAAGCATATGAAAAAGTATCATATAAAATACTGCTATCGAAACTATATAATTCAGGAATCCGTGGCCCAGCCTTCTCTTGGTTCAAATCATATCTTCAAAACAGAAAACAAATAGTCCAAATCGAACACTATAGCAACAAAAATGAAATAATGAATATACATTCAGAGGAAAAAAGTCTATCTTGCTCTATCCCGCAAGGCAGCGTGTGTGGATGTATTCTTTTTTTGATATACATAAATGATCTACCAAAAATATTTGATAGGAGTGAAGCACTACCAGTTCTTTTTGCGGATGACATATCAATATTGCTAAAATTTCAGAAGGGAACTGGGGCCCAATTCTCGCGGCATAGATATTATATCACCTTCGATATATATCGAATGATCTGGCTTTTTTCGAAGGAAAACCTTTTTGCCCTATTCTCACCATGTCGCAATAGATATTTATCTACGGATGATCAGTAGACATACATCGACTGGTAAAGAGCCTTCGATATATAAATATCTATGGATCTTGGCATGTCAATCTTGTTATTTCCACTTTTTTTACCTATTATTTATTGTGTTGTCGTGTGTCTTTGCCAGTTATTGTTACCTCAAGATGTTGTTAACTGCCTTCATAAATAATTAGTAAATAAAGAAATAGGTAAACAATGGTGTAGATTCTGGCGTGATTCTCTAAACTTAAAACTAAATTTATTATCAGTCTCTCTTTTTCATTCTGTATAGAGAATGACAAGGAAACACTGTTGTCAAGTTTAAGTTTAGATTTAGAGAATCGTGCCAGAATCGACACCAGTTTATATTAACGATGGATGAGTTGATTCATGTTTTCGTCAATGATTTAATAAATTACGTGATTGCTGCTGCTGTGCTAAGGCGCCGCCGTTGTGCGAGCAGGAGGGCCCATTTGAAATGAGGGACGTGGACTTCATAAAAAAATTACGTTTAAACAAAAATTTCGTTAGAAATCTTTAAAGTTATGAATGACATTGGTATCGATTCTGACACGATTCTCTAAACTTAAAACTAAATTTAACATCAGTCTCTCCTTTTCATTCTGTATGGAGAATGACAAGGATACACTGTTGTCAAATTTACGTTTAGGTTTAGAGAATCATGCCAGAATCGACACCATTTTCTTATTGACGATACGGAGTTTTGGTGGGATTTCTGCGAGTGCGGTTGGCATCTTATTTTAATTATTCTAAAATTCGTTCATAGTGGATATTGTGAAATAAAATTGGTGTGATTTGGTGTTACAACCGTCTGCGCAACTAAAGAATTAGTGGAATCTTTAAAATATACGCTATTCCGGTCAAGTGGACGCAAGAACTTTATTGTAGTGTTGACTACCTCACAGAAGCTTAGAGAAAAAGCTGACTCCATAAATTTCGTGCCAAACACTCCAAGAAACATTAGAATGCGTCACACCGACATTCGAATGTAATAAAAAGAAGATTAATATAACTAAAGACTAGGCTTTATGGGCATTGTTCCCTTTGCCTTCCCTGAAAAGGGAGAATTTTAAATAATATTGACGTTTCATTATACATAACGTTGAAATTATATACGCATACAATTTAGGTAAAGTTGAGATTTCTTATACTCAAAAAATGTATACACATATTTAATATGAATGGAATTCATAAAATATCATTTTGTTGCTTGTAAAATTCTGCTCTAATTTATTATTATTTTATATAGACTATGATGTTAACTTAATCGAGAAAAACGGAACGCATTCGGCAGTGAAAGAATATCTACGATAGATATAATATCATTGGAATATCGAAAATCCACGAGAATAGCATTTTTTACTATTAGTAGATATTTTCAATAGATATCCCTACTTTCGATATTATCTCGAAGCCGATATAATATCTACGCCGCGAGAATTGGGCCCCTGATCCAAATGCATTAATAGAAAAAACTTTAGATACTGTAACAACTTGGCTCGAGAACCATAATTTAGAGATAAACTATAAGAAAACGAAAGCATATAAAAAAAAAAAAAAGCATATAATAAAACCCCACCATTAAATGTTACAGTTGTTTACAAAAATATAAATATCGAATTAGTAGATACATTTAAATTACTCGGTATAACTATAGATAGTAATTTAAACTGGAAAAGTCATATTGATTATGTTAAAACTAAATTATCCAAATTTATATACGCACTCTTTGAAATTAAACAGAGTACTAACTTAGAAACAGCTCTTTCTACATATTATGCATATGCCTATTCCTGGTTGCGGTACGGGTCTATGCTGTGGGGTAATAGTGTGAATTCACATGAATTCACATGATCTTTTTGTTATGCAGAAGAAGTGTATTCGTATCCTTGCACAAATAGACAATACAGTGAGCTGCAAACCTTTCTTTAAAAAATATAAAATACTTACTCTTCCAAGCATATACATACACGACATATGTGGTTTTGTATTTAAAAATTCTAACGCGTTTAATAAAGTTAACCAAACCCATAATATTAATACCCGCCATAAAAATAGATTAAATCATCCCCCATCAAGACTAACCATGCTTAGCAATAGCCCCTACTACATGGCAGTTAAGCTATTTAATAAATTACCACATTCTATAAAAAACCAAAAATCTATTACCACATTTAATACAAAACTTAAAAAATTTCTAATTGATAAATGCTTCTATTCTGTGGATGAATATTTAAATTACAAATAGATAATAATTTAATATATGAATGCACAAAGTTAAAAAGAAAATATATTTATTAGATTTTAAATATACTTTTTAATATATATAATGAAAACTTTACAACAAAATAATACTAATAAGGCGATTTTTTTAAAATACAAACCTAGTATATAATAATCATGTTAATTGACATATTATTTTATTTTTTTATTTTATTTTTATTGACATATTTATTAATTTTAATTATTGACAAATTTAATTTAATTTTATAAATGAATTTCCATTTCTATTATATTTCTACTGTTAATAAGATCAATTGAGTAAGTTATATTGTTAAACAAATGGAATCAGATGATATTTATTTTAGACACAAATTAGGTTCCTTATATACTATTTATTAATTAGATGCTTTTGTAATTTTTATCTTTAACTGTACTGTATATTGCGATACCCTGACAGGGTTCATGTTAGGTACTATAAACATTTTGTAACCATCGATGTAATCACATGAGTGCAATAAATTGAATTGAATTGAATATATAGTATATTACACGATACTCACCTGCAC